GATTGAATCCTATGTTATTGTATCTTTCTCATACTTGTTCTGTCCGTATTAGACCACTGATTTATTTATCTACTCCAGTGTCTTTTGATACATCTAGATTGTTACAATATGGATCTATAGGATCAATATGGTAGTTTTAAGCCCTTGTGAGTAAAAGAGGTAGCATTTTAAATTTCTATAGTAACATACTAACTTTTTATTTACTTGTTTTCAAAACATATGGAAATTAGACTTCCTCTTTTGTTTTGTAATTTTCAATTAGCTATTTGCTAATTATAAATTGTATGTGTTATTTATCAGTTAGGTTTCTTTTCTTCGTAATTCACGTGGAGATCAATTAAACTATTATTTTTCTTAGTTTTTATCCAAATGTTGTCTTCACTAATTGTGCATGTGTTTTACATGACTCTTTATTTAGTTTTTTTTTTCGTTTCCAACCCATGTGAAAATCAACTTGGTATTTTTCTCTCCTTCATTTATTATTCTAAATTAAGTATATTTATACTAGGCATTAGCTCTTTGATTTAAATGAGACCGTAAAATCATCGTAATTTCTAGGCTCTCACGGCATCATGGTTTATTCTTCTAACACTATTCTATCTAATAACATAATAGATAGATTTTCAATAGAATTCGATAGATGGCATGTTTCTTAATAAAAAAACATTGTAATAAATTGATTCTTGACAACGAATGGAAACGAAAGGGTTTGAGCGAGCGAATGAGCTCTCGAGGCTGGACTCTGACTTAGGCTTGAAACTAGCCAAATTTGTTCGCGGAAACGTGTAAACAGCGGAGATGAGAAGTGAAAGCGGTGGTGGCCTCGCTGCCGCGATCATCCTGTCTGCTGCGGCGTCGCTCTCGGGGCGTCGGGCGTCAACCCGGTTGATCTCCCTTCGCCCGCCGAGCACCGAAATAATAATTACCCCCCCACCGCCCCCCTCGCGCCGCTTGCGGTTGTCGCCTAGCAGGCCGTGAATATTCCTGCGCCGCTTTGGAGCACCTGACTCCGGCCTGACGAGAAAGGAAAGAGGATGGACGGAGGAGGAGGCCCATCCAGGCGGCCCCAGGCCCCCCTCCTCTCTTATCCTGAAGGAAAACTACCGGCCAGGCACAGGCACGAGCACGCACGGCTCGACAGCATCAGAGTCAGGCCTAGTACTCCTACTGCATGCTCACTGTCACTGGAAGGAACTCATCTGATGCGGTACTAGGTAATGATCCGCCTGCATTTTTCGAGCTGCTAGCCGGCTTTGTCTTGCATATATGGACTACCCTATGTCCCTGATATGATGAGTGATGAGTCGTTCTTGTTCTTCAGGGAGATGGATGGTGCTCCGCAAGCAGCAGCAATGCAGCAGTGATATCTTCCGGATCAGCTCTAGGAGTGCCCGGCCCTTGGCGTTTGTCAGCTTGTGTGCGGTTGCATGCCATGTAGGGCATGCATGCATATTCTATTCCCCGGGGTGGTGTTTGATGTGCTTGCTAACCATCGACCTCACCTAACGTAGGCCTCCAAAGGGCAAGGTCAACCCTTCTGTTCTGCTCGCGCATCAATCGACCCATCGACAGACTGGTCTGGTATTCAGCCTTGCCCGTCTGGGACGACACACGGACGGCAAGGCATGGCCCTGCCCGCCCGGCTGCATGTCCCTGATCCAGCGGATTCTTCTTTCCTTCCTCCCCCTCTGGCGTAATCTGGCCGTCTGGCCTCTGCTGTAAAATCACGCACGTCGTACTTTGCTATTCACGCGTGCGTCTGATGATCTGATCTGGTCTCACTCGTCTGGTGACTGGTGTCGTCCAGAGGCCAGAGCATATAGTGCTGCAGTGCCAGAGGACAGTTACAAGACGGCAAGCTAGGAGCTGAAAACTTTTCATCACGGATGCAAAGCAAAGGTCAGTCGGAACAGATCTTCTCCGGCGCCTGCGGCATTCCGTCCCCAGCCATACCCGGTGTCCGGTGAGAGGACGGATAGGAAAGATCGATCTTGTGGCTGAAGCAACTCGTCACTGATGTCACCACACGAACGTGCAGATTCGTTCTAAAGTGCATTCATGCGGTCAAAGTTTCCGCCAAGAGCAAAGCAAGCAACTGCTTGCTTTCCAAAGGTTTTCTTCGGGAACCATGCATGCATAACCGACAGCTACCTTGTTGCAAAGGTCACCTAGCCTAGGCTATGGGCTATGGCAAGGCTAGTCCAATACTACGGCAATACGACCTCGTGCTTCCTCTTCGCCCGCAGTACGCATTCCGAGTCCCCTCCGTACCACTACTTGTACGTGCAACACCGACGTATCCATCTACGGGACTACACGGCCGTACGGCGTCGATCGACGCATCGTCTATCGTTCACAGCATCGTGCAGCAGCCACTGCCAGCAGGGCAGGGATGGAACGGAACTGAATTGACCGGCGGCGACTGACTACTCATCGTTCATCACTACTCACGCTCGATCGCCCGACGCGCGAGAAAGAAAGAAAGGTGGCAGCGACAACCGACGAAAGCTGGCTGTGGCCTGCTGCTTTATTAGCAAGAGGGCACAGGACGTATTGCGGAAAGGCAGCTCCATGATTGTCAGCCAGGGGCCTGTAAAACAACCGGGGGTCCGGGGTTGACCAAGCAGCGACGCCGACGCCGGCCGGGGCGGGGTCGCGGACGACATCAGCTAGTGCCGCGGGCTGCTGAGATGACCCAGTCTGGGGTCCGGCCGGCCGATCTGGGGCTGTCAGCTTTGCCCTTTAATCTGCAGTCAGGCTTAAAAGGAGCGGGTTGACAATTCCCTGGCTGCGATCATGCCGCCGCCTGATTGGCTGGCTGGCTGCCTGATCGAAGCATTTGCTTTGCTGTGCTGTGCTGGAAGATGGAGGATGGAGGATGGAGACCGGAGATGGAGAGGCGTTTCAAGCAAGGCCATCATCCAGGCCGGACGATGACCTGGCCTGTCGTGTCAACTTTTTTTTTTCCTTTCCAAGCGATAGGAGGAGGGGGTGGAGTAGTGTACCAGCTTCTCTTGGTTGCCCAAACTGGGGTCGTAGATCAGATCAGCGGCTAAACGGTGGGTTAGTTTACAGCCTTGTTGGACTCTGTCTGTATAGCTAGGTAATAACGTGTAATACCAGATCAGAATGAGATGGTCTTTGCGAAATTTTGGGAACTAAACAGGCACTTGGAACTCTTGTGTAGTATGTACCATGTCACATTGTGGCATCATTCGCGCGTCACCAGTCGGTTTTCTTATATATATATATATATATATATATATATATATATATATATATATATATATATATTGTAGCTCGCCGCAAAATAAGTTATTTCGTGGCCACTTTGTGTTACGATAATTACTATACTAATTTACGAGATTATGGTATACTATAGTATTATGGTAAGTATCATCTTGAATTATAGTAACCCATGTATCGTAAATGTGTATTGTCATTATCGTAAATTGGTACAAATATTATTGTAAATCAAGGTGGCCATAGAATAAGTTATTTTATGGCCAGCTGTAGAATAGCCTTACCGTGTGTGTGTGTATATATATATATATATAGGGAGAGTATATTCAGTAGCCAGCTACAAAATAAGTTATTCTGTAGCCACCTCTATTTACGATAATTTTATATACTAATTTACAATAATATCAATACATATTTACGATAATTGGGTTACTATAACACATAGAGATATTTACCATAACGTTATAGTAAACCACTTAGTAAAGAGTTACTATAATATCGTAAATTAACATATTAATTATCGTAACTCAAAGTGGCTACAAAATAAATTATTTTGTAGCCAGCTACATGGTAGTAGTTCTATATCTATATCTATCTATCTATCTATCTATCCATCTATATATATAAGTCATATGTATAGTAGTTTAAAGAGGAAATGGTTATTGTCTTATGAGCCGTACTATTTCAGCGAACAAACAGTGTTTTTCTCTCACAACAAATCAACGAACAATACTTTTAGGCATGACTTTTCAGCAAAGCGAACATGGCCTATGTCCATATTGTGTATATATATTGAATTGAAAAAGAAGAGCTGCTGTTGCACTTTTTCTAAGAAGCTTGTGCTTTCACACTTCGAATCATGGCATTTGATTAGTATGTTATATATTAAGGCCGAGTATAAGACGCGTCACAAGGTCATATGGAAGCTGATGCGAGCTAGCAAGTACTAGTATATGACATGCTTTGAAAAATTCAGGCCTCGTAAAGAAACACAGGACGGCTAATGAGCTAAGCTAACTATGGCATGGCACTCTTGCCTCCAATTGGAGAGTCCTTGTTGCTTTGACTTGTCCAATTCCTTCCTCTAACATACCACCCTTCTACCCTGCCCTACACAAATTGGACTAGTTGACGTTGCATGGTTGGTGTCTCGGCAACAGGCTCTTTCCTGTGCTCGTTTACCTAGCCTCACTGATGAGAAGCTGTCAAATCTCTTAAAACTGAGTTGGAAAATTGGCGTCCTTTTTATGCTTTCATGTGAAGCAAGCAAACAAGCAACCAAATCGATCGTTGTCTGGGGCAGCCTGACCTGGAGCACGAGCATAACTGATGCTTGTGCAGGCAGCAGCCTCATTTTAGAACTTCTAATCATGATCAGTATTGAAATCGCGAATATTAAACACGTAGCCGCGTCATGTGACTCGTACGATAGTGAAGCAGCAAGACTATTGCTCCTCGTTTTTCGAAGGCACCTACCACGATTCCCCGGGCAATCTTTTCGGGAGGATTTGCAGGGCTTGACAGGACCAAACAAACAAAAATATAATCAAACCCTGACGATCGATCGGGATCGGCTGGATATCGCTGTAGTACAAAGCTGCTATCTGATCTGATGTATTTATGTATTGTTTTTTTCGCGAACGTGCAATTCATGCGCTTGCTTCCGTGTTCCAACTGCATTCAGTTTCTGTACAAAGAAAAACTGAAAGCCAGTGGGATCAGTGCTGACCGTCCTACCCTTTTCAGTTTTCACCATTTCACCAGTGGGGTGCTTCACCCTGGTTCGTTCTGTATACAAAAAACTGGTGAACAAAAGAAAAGCTAGGATGGCAATGGGCCGATCTGCTCAACCTCGCTTGCATCGGCGGCCGTGGCGCAGTCCTCTGGGCTCCGGTCTGGAACTGAACGGATGTACCTGGGCATCCTCACTGAGATGCCGCGCGATGGATGGACAAGCCCAATGGCCGCATGGTGATTGGTGAACAGGGGACAACGTCAGGTCTGCATGGAAAAACAAAGGCAGATAAACACACGTTTCGCCACTGACATATTGCATTAGCTTATGTGGTACAAGTATTGAAAACATATGTCAGGTCTTGTTGGATATACTCATATCCATCTCAATCCAGATTGGATTGAGGTGGAACTTAGTTTAATTTCCACCCGATCCACGTCCAAACAAGCCCTGGAAATGCTAATAGGAGGGTCTTCACGTTACCTGCACCTCGAATCTCCCAAATTTGTTCTGCGGTGAACCACAGCTCAGGTTGCTCATCTGTTTTGTAGTAAACAGGCTTCTTGGGCAGTATCCTTTCCCCCGAATAAAACTCCTTCATCTGTAGATTAAATTCCAAATATCAAAGCCATAACCATTGAAGGTGTTTCTGCAGAAGCACAGAGATCTGACACTGTTTGAAATTGCCTTGAGTTTTAAGTATAAAAATGACAAACTATATGTCTTGTAGACAATATCTCAGCTACCACTGAATAGAGATCTATAATAAATAAATAGGTAGGCACATAAAACTACGCACTCACTTTGTGAGGAAATTGCATCATACGAAGAATCATACAATCATGCACTAATTTCCATTGTTGATCATACGAATTCTTAACATTCATTCTTTATGACCAATCACTCATGAATGATGTGCACCTTTTTATAATAGCAAAAACATTCAAAAGAAAAGGAACCACATGGAGGGATCAGCTCCCCCCACATTCAGCATGTAAGCAAATACTGAGCATCTTCTTAAAGATGTAATGCTACCAGGAACAAGCGTTCCGTTGAAACATCCAGGCAGCAATTTATTCATACCTCTTTATAGAACTCATCTGAGAAACCAGACATAACACGGCATACACTTTGGAACTCTTCAGTTTCAGGGTTGTAGCATGCCATGAGAAAAGGGCTGTACCTGTACAGATAAATTTGGGCACACTAGGTCGGGATTGTTCGGTAAAATAATAAAAGTTGAAACTAGAGCTGATTGGGACTAAACCTAGCACCCAGCTTTACGTCCATTTCCATACCATGCACCAATTGGAACTAAGCCAAGGCTATCACCTAAGCCTTCCACATAGTCACGCTTGACCTGAAAATAATGATAAGAGCATAAGACTTCAAGAGCTTCAGGAAATAAAAAAACATCAAGCACCAGTTCGGTACTGAAATATGTTTGCACCTTTAACCATGAATCGCAGCGTTTGGAAGCAGAGTATCCAGCATCGACATCCAAAGTCTTTAACATTATACCCTCACAAGAAGACTGGCATGCATTTTTGAAAAATGTGTTCATCCTAGCTAAAGTGCTAGAATTGTCTGGTGAAGCTTCGTTGGCTTCTACCTACATGGTAGAAATGGATTGATTCATGCGAAATTACAAGCATCCATGAACAAATCTTATCATAAACAAAACAAATAATTAAGGTTGCGCACTTGTGCAAGTTCATGGCAATGACAATTAGAAGGTGCATGTTATTCCAGACCAAATCATGTATACTTTAAACTTTAGGTTGGAGATGTGAATGCTCATGCAGTCATGCTAAGGTCATTCACAATGTACAGTAACATTTGATTTCTAGGATATGATCTCTAATTTACAAAGCCGCACTGCTGAAATGTGGGCTGCACAGCATAGATTTTAATTTAGAGTAGTGCAAATAACGGGAAAAATTAAACAAAAGAAAAAGGAGAGGTCAGATACCTAACATCGACAACGTCTCAATGAATGGAAAAGAAGGAAGTGTCACATTAAGATTTAGAAGGTGATTCAATAGTGTCATAGTACCAAAATAATGTTGAAAATAACAACGCATGCATGAAAAGGGAAGTGCTTCATTCTGAGATGAAACTTACAGTTAGCTGCTGAGCTAACTCAAAATATCCTGGCTTCTCCTGGAACAAGTCATGAATGTCTGGAATGAAAGAAAATCACAGGAAGAAGTTTAATGGCACCCATTGAGACGTGTACTCAACAAAGCAGCAAATTCTCCTATTAGAACTTTGCAAGTGCTTCTATAGATAGTACTGAAACATACACTTTCTTCTTTGTCGAAGAGGGCAATCCAGTAGCCTGCAGGAGCAGAAAACTGTTAAAGCCCTGATGTTTTGAATAAGACAATAAAGTTATACACGCGAAGGAAGTAATATGCAGCTGCTTTTATAGCATTTAGTGGATATTGCCATGGTACTGTACCAAGTGCAATCACTTTCGTAGGTGCAATTACGAAATTACCTTCCATTTTAAACACCAAATCAACATAAGTATTCTAAAGGAAGTTGAGGGTCTAGACCATAAACTATTGAGTATTGTAACCCCACATTAAAATTTCAACCTCATACTTCAGTATGTAAGAATAAAACAATAAGATTGCTCCGAGTGGTAGCATTTGTCTTTAAATTCCTTAATAAAAAATGATAAGTTTGTGTTCCTGTTAGCACAATCAATTTCAGTTTTAATACTTAATAGTAAGTAGAGTAAACTAAGAAATAATCTGGAAGTGTTTGCCATGATTTGGTGCCCAACCAAAGGTGACAGCAGCCTCAGCAGAGAGCCGGAGATTGCACTTCATATCTCCCCATTTCCATTAGGCACCTCATGCGACATGAATTTGAATCATTCATATTCTATGAACTGGAAATAGAATAAGCTACTGTACATCACCAGCAAACTAAATATGTCATAACTTAGTAATTGAAATGTGATACAGTTAAATTAAATCCAGCTAATAACAGTACCGCCATAGAGTAAAGCAAATGAGCAATGGATGCTCTCTACTTAGTTTTTCTAAGAGAAGGTTTGCTTCTTACAATTACAAATAAGTCCTTTCCGAGATTTCCACGAAATCAAGGACTCAAAACTCAAAAGTGTACAATATTCTTACCTCTCTCCACCGTGGAACATGATGTCAAAAACAAACTCACAAATGTCAACCTGCAGAGTGGATGTCACATTACCAGGTGGATAATAAGATTGATTAAGGGAAAAGCATGGACTCAGCTTTCAGTTAAATATATGAAAAATGAGAGTCCATACTCAGAAAAATGCTCCATATCCTACTAGGTACTCATTTGTTATGTGCAATGCATTTGGTTTGAACACAAGAACTATTATAAGTTCTGTGCTAGGGACAATTGAGATACTTATCTACCATAAAGGTGGATGAGTTGTTGAGCTCTGGCAATATCTACTGTTGAAATGCATAATCTGCTGCAAGTATATTTGATGATTGGTAGTGATAAATAACCATTAATTATTGAAGAGAACTAGCTAGGTCACTAGGGACTTGGGATGGGACTATGTTGTTCAGTTAAAGCTGTGAACTACAACGAATCAATTAGAGAAATAAATGAACAACTACAATAATTCCTCAAAGTTCTAAAACTCACTGGCATTAGTCACATAAAAGTACAACCCATAACAACACTTGGTAGTCCAAAGTGGTAATGATGCTTAGTAAATCGCATACTCACCTTTATGTTCTCTATTGAAATTGAGGAATGCTTGTTCCCTCTTTCTCTTGAAGATAGCTCTTGGAACGACATCAACTTGTTTCCTTTCTTCCTGTCAATTCCCACCACCTAGATTTGCAAAACCATAACAAAAATAGTTTGAGGGTAAACAAGTGTAGAGATGGCAAATGCTTCAGAATTAAACTGACCTCAACATCCAGTATAAAGCTGGACACTTCAGGCTTGCACAGCTCCTTAATCATGTTCACAAGATCAGGAAATCTGGAAGTTGATTCTTTCATTTGCCTTGAAAATATTCGCACGGATCCATCAGGTAGTTTGTGAATCTGGGCACGCTGACCATCATACCTAGAAGTGACATTAATGAGAAAATTTCAGTGTTTTTGTATCTGGAGAGTTTCTAATAAACTGGGGATCCGAGCATGGGCCACACGGTGAGAGTAAGTCTTCTGGTCAATACAAATTATAGACCTGAACGTTGTATGGGTAAAGGAATGAACATATGCAGGCTCATCAACTGTCGGTGTTTTGGATCATCGGCTAGTAAATTTTGTAATTTGCGCGTCTGACCCGGATGGCTATGCTCGGAGGACACAAGGATTTATACTAGTTCGGAATGAAGGTCCCTATGTCCAGTTTGCTGCTGCTCGTGTTACCGGCACTGTTTGAATAGGGATTACAAACGGACGAGAGAGGGAGTCAGTCCCAAGTCTCTGGTAATAGGATCGTATGCTAGCTGTTGAGGCGTGTGGGCATTATGTCTTAGGGACGTCGTGCCCTGGAAGACCCTTCCCCTCCAGGGGCGTCCATCTTCTCCTTTTACAGACGAAGGGGAAGGCACGGGTTACACGAGAGAGAGATAAGCAAGGAGGAAGAAGGCACCCAGGGTCATGGCGCCCATCATCTCCTTTACGTGGGTCCCGTCAGTCCTATAGATGATGACGGGGACGGCTTCATGTCGCGGCCCTGTTCATCACTGGCGATGTGCGTGGGCGTCGTCGACGTCAGCTGGTCATGGCGCTCCATTCCTGTGGCAGAACCGCCGAAATAACGCACTTACGGAGGCGCTTGTCTTCCACTAGACACTAAGCACCCGAGAGCGAAGCTACATCGGGCGGATTCCATCGGACACACCCCACCGGAGAGCCCGAATAATCCATATTTTCCCAAGCAGATCCAATAATGAGAACGAGTTTACATTACTTAGTCCATTTCATACATCCGAGTTCTTAGAAATATATTATTACAGATACCAAATTCAGAGCGCGGAACTTTAACAGCGGAATAAAAAGAAACATCTATCGATAATATACGGGATCCGTCTGCAGGCTCACCGGAAGAATCCTTAACACAACGGCTACTCCTCGGCAAGACACGCAACAAGGGTAAATAAACCACGAGTACACAATATACTCATAAGACTTATCCGACTAGTGGGAATAATTTCCACTCAAGAAATATGATAAGCTTTATGGTTTCTTTGGGTTTTCTTTTGCGGAAAGCAATACTAATAGTGATTCCTTATTCATGTTATTATTAGCAGCCATGATTAATTCATTATCTAGCCATTCTATGTAAGCACCTGTTCTACTTTCAAGCAAGAGTTGAGCAAACAGTTTTATTTCAGCACCTTTCATCTTTCAGTTCTTACTACGGTGCTAGACTGTAGACAAGCCGTACCAGAACGCCGACGATTCATGAATCAATATGCCCAGCTGGGTACCCCAAAATACATGCCCCGCTTGTACCCCAGGCACAAGCAGGACCAACCCATCACCCTCCTGTCACGGGGTCTAGGTCCCCGTCCAAACTTGGACTCTAAGGCCCCGCTCCTAAGTCCCGGACTCAGTGCGGTGCTTAGACCTTCACCATCCCCACCTCTGATCAGTCGGTCTAGAAAGAGCTGAAACCCACGACAAGAGAGCAACAAGTCTTCTATGCGCCCATACCCAAGTATGTGCTAAGGATAATAAGTTTGTGACTTGCCTAGAACCAATGCAACGGCCGGTCCTTAACCGACACAGACAGGGAAAAAGTGTAATCAAACTATGCCTTATTGGCCGCAGGACACAACCTCTTATACCCACCAATACCCAAACCATATCCCTGTCCGGTTGCCATTTTTCCTTTCCACCATTTTATCACGAGTGATCATAGTAATCATCTATTGTGAGTAACGACAGGTTACTCACGCTACCAAAATTCTGAGCATATCAGCTACTCGACCTATACTAGTAGGACTCATAGGTAAATATATCTATACATATAGTTTCCATAAAATGCCTATAATGTAAATGCACATCACATATATATATTCCATGATCATTCAAAAATAGGGGTTATGCACCGGGGCTTGCCTTGGGCAGGCGGGGTGTCAACAAAGTCAGCAACTGATGGCTATGAGGCTCCCTCCTGTACGAGAATCTCCTCCTCGTACTCCTCAATGATCTCCTCGTAGTCCTGTTCGTCCGCAGGCATGAACTCTACCAACTCGTTATCTACATGCATGAAATGATGATGCAACACTTAATAATACGGCAACAACAACTCTTAAAATAAAATATATCTGTCAAGTTACTAAACTAGCTCTACCGACCAAGACATGTTTTAGCAAAAGATTTACAGTGTAACACCGAGGGTGTTACAAATCTACCCCCCTAAAATAAAATCTCGTCCCGAGATTTCATGTGTCTAGTGTGGGAAAAGAGATAAGAATTACAATTCAATGCAGACAACTACCTCGGTGAACCAGAAAGAAGATGGGGGTAATGCTTCAAGATATAGTCCTCTTGTTCCCATGTGGCTTCATTCTCCGAGTGGTTTTGCCACCGTACTTTGTAGAACTTCACCACAATGTTCCTTGTCACTCTTTTTTTTTCGTCCAAAATCTTGACAGGGTGCTCAATATAAGTCAAAGTCAGGCTGAAGGGGAAGTCCTTTAATTTCCACAGCTTCATCTAGGATCTGCAAACACTTCTTCAACTGAGATACGTGTAACACATCATGTACCGCCGATAAAATATCTAGAAGTTGGAGACGATAAGCAACTAGGCCACACTGCTCTAAAATCTTGTAAGGATCCACATATCAAGGGGCTAGCTTGCCACGGACACCAAACCGATGCACCCCTCTCATAGGAGACACCTTGAGGTATACATGATCCCCAACTGCAAACTGCAAAGGTCTTGTTCGCTTATCCGCATAAACTTTATGTCAGCTCTGAGCTGCCTTTAAATGACTCTGAATAATGCTGACTCGCTCTTGAGCTTCTTTGATGAAATCAGGTCCAAAATATCCACGGTCTCCCACTTCAACCCAGTTAAGTGGTGTCCTATACTTCTTTCCATACAGAGCTTCAAATGGTGCCATACGAATACTTTCTTGATAACTATTGTTGTAAGAAAACTCAACTAACTTCAGGCATTCATCCCACTTCTCAGGAAAAGAAATGGCATAAGCTCTCAACATGTCCTCGAGTACCTAGTTCACCCTTTCCATTTGGCCAACAGTTTGTGGATGATAAGCTGAGCTTCTGAGGAGACGAGTACCAAGACATTGCTGCAGTTGCTCCCAGAAACGAGAGACAAAAATGGATCCCATGGCCTCAGGGTCGGACATGATGAGGCTCTCGCCCGTGGGGTCAGACGAGACGGAGCCCGTACCCTCGGGGCCGGGCGAGACCAAGATACGCTCTTGACCTATCCAAGGGAGTTAGCGTTCGTGGCCATCCGCTTCCTTCTTCCCGATATCCCCAATCCAGATACCCAACAACAACCATCATGAATAGGGGCATATTCCCTCCCAAATCCCAACTTGCTTCCTCAGCGCTATAGAGTTTTCATGATCCTTCAAATATAGACAAGTTATGCTTAAAGATAAAGGAATTATTTCTTTGTTGGTTATTGACTCTTCAAACTATCAGGAATTTGAAACATTCTCCTCCAACTCAGGACTTCAGGAGTGATAGAAAGCTCGGGTTTAAGCTACAGTCTTGGAAGATATTGTGGTTCAGGGCAAACCTTTCTAAAACCTGGTACAACTGGAATCCCAGGGGTTGTGATTAGCAATTCATAAAATAATTTCATGTTTTTTTAGAAATAGGATAAACCTGCTTATAAGAAAGCAGAAAAAATAGTTTAATGTTAAAATAGCCATATAGTTATTTAAGTAGCTCTAGCCAGAAAAATATCTTAGAGAGGCAGTAAGCAATGGACATACTTGTACTCACAAGTAAATGATTTGGCATGGAAAGCTTTCAATGATTGAGTCAACCCATTAGTAATTAAAAAAACAATTGTCGGTGTTTTCGGACCACCGACGAGTAAATTTGTATTTACGCATCTGGCTCAGATGGTGTGCTCAGAGGACACAAAGATTTATACTAGTTCAGGTGGAACATCCCTACGTCCAGTTTGCTGCTACTCGTGTTACCGGCACTTGGTTTGCAATAGGGGTTACAAACAGGCGAGAGAGGAAGAGGATCCCAAGTCTCTGGTGGAAGGAGTGAACGGGTGCTGAGAGCTCGCTTGCCACTCAACCGTGTGCTCGGGTCATGTTCTTGTGTTTTGATCTCTCCTTCTCGGACCTCGATCCCTGCTTCCCCTTTTATAGGCGAAGGGAAAGTGAGTCCTTCTCCTTCATGCGGGTCCTACTGATCCTGTAGATGTCAATAGGGACAGCTCCATGTCTTGGCCCTATTCATCACTAGCGCCATGCACAGGCGTCATCTGCCGATCATGGCATTCCACTCCATCCCGGTGGACGTCGTGGTGAACTAACGCGCTTGTCAGCGTCCATACGAGGATTAGGCAGAATAGCACTGGGACGTCCGACATTGTTCTTGATGTGAATCCCCAGGTATGGCCCACCATGGCCACGGGATACATCGAGGCGTGCCAGCCTCTTCCCTGGCATTAGAGTTTTGACCCAGGCCCATATGCTTGGATCTAGAGTGGTTGGTGGCGATATGGGTCCCCGTCGGACAAGATAGAAACCACGTCATCGGGGTCAGGCGACACGGAGCCCGTGGCCTCGAGGTCGAACGAGACGGAGCCCATGGCCTTGGGCGAGATAGAAACCGCGTTCTTGGGGTTGGGTGAGATGGATCCCGCTTCCTAGGGGTTGGGCGAGGTGGGGCCCGCACCCAAAGGGTTAGACAAGATGGAGCCCGCGGCCTCGAGGTTGGGCGAGGCGAAGCCCGCGACCTCGAGGTCAGGCAAGGTGGAGCCCGTGGCCTCAAGGTCGGGCGAGATGGAGCCCGTGACCTCAGGGTCGGGTGAGACCTTTTAATACATCTTGAGCCATTCGGAGGAGTCAGTGTGAGCACTAACTCCCTTGCTTTGGGTATC